TCTTCAGGGGGTGTATACAGGGGGTGTAATTTCATTTCTCTGTATGTCCTGTACATGTGGCAGAAGTGACAATTAAACTGACTTTGACTTTGACTTTCACTACAGGTTGGATACAGGGGACTGTAGTATGTACAAGGGTAGTGGAAGGTAGTAACAGAGTACATGCTGGGTGAATCTTGGGTACTTCGGGAGTATGTATAGGGTGAATGCATGGTACTTAAGGGGGTATGTATAGGGTAAAAGCATGGTACCTTTCTGGCACTTATCACATACCCTGATACGTAAATACTTATAAAGCCAATACAAACCTTTATGCCATCTAAATTAATCCTTTGGTGTTTTTGATCCAGTCTTTAAAAATAATCTGAAACTATAGACTTCTGCATTTGGGCATACGGAACAAAGCCTCAACATGTCCTGCAATATTTCCTTTCGGGATGCAACAGCACTAAAACTACAAGAAGGAGCAAATAAAGGAGAATAAAAAGAAAGGTTTACAGTTTGTTGTGGCTTCCAGGCATTATCAGTGTTGCAAGAAGCATCTGGTCAGAGGGCTTGGCAGAAACCTCCACATCTATATCTATTCCTTTTCCTGACAGCGAGCCAACAGTGCAGATTTTCTCCTCCCCTGAACCACATTTAAATATCTCTAATGGCTGAAATTGCATCTTACCATTCACATGACTAAAGCATACGAAACACCCAATAAGTTCCGTTTTAAGGCGCTCCCGGTAATTGTTTTAAGCTGCACTCAAATATAATGGTTAGCTCTTCTATTTAGAACCAAAAATAAGAACCATAAATAAGAACATCAAACCTGTCATGTAAGAAACAAGCACACAAAAACAGACGATTTATAAAAATGACAGAAATAAATGATAGACTTTTAGTTTTTATAGGCTGTATTAGATAAAGTCCAGACTAATTTTAGCTGCTTGTGTTTGTGCATTTTTACTGTGGAGACTCGGAGTCAACCAAAGGCTTCTATGATGTCTGCAGGTGTAAAGAGACGACTCCCAACCCAAAAGAGACAGACAGGATGTATGAAAGGCAATTAAGGAGAGGAAGAGGTGGAAGTTCATCTGTATCCGAGGCTTTTTTAGTTTAGGTTCCCGTCAGCCAGGCTTGGAGAGCTTTCTCGCTGCCGAAACCCCCAAAACAAAAACAAACGGACACATAAATCTTTCTGAGTCTCTGATGTTACAGTCAGCTTTCACTTCAGCCCTGCAGCTGGATGTTTAAAGCTGGAATAAAGCATTTGTTTTCTGTTATTTTCTATGTATTATGAGGGGTGTAATTGCTGGGTAGCTAATTAATTGCAGAGGGAAAAAAGGTGGGAAAAATAAAGTTCTTGTCATTTCCTTTGGTGTGTTTTGGTGAATCATTGACTGGATTTTAGATGATGGGGTTAAGCAAGGTGTTTGATGCTGTGTTCCTCCCACACACACACACGGATTGGAAACCTCTATCTTCTCTGTAGATCTATGACCACAGGCTCTCTCTGTACATCCGTGCAAACAGAATGTTTGTCTTCAGGTCAGAGGAGTGCTTGTGCTTTCCTTTAAAAGCACAACGCAGAAGGGAGGGAGGCACACCTGTCTCCGTCCGTCTAAGGTGTGAGGGAACGCGGCTTGAATACAGTTTCATGCTCTCTCTCTCTCTCTGATTACACATGCCCTGTGCCAGCTAAACTTTAAGCCGTCACCTTTTGCCTTCTGGATTTTGTCGCTGCCTCTGCACCTGAGGACGGTTCTGTATTTTAAACAACCACAGGCACTGCTGTTTTGAGGATAATGTTTGAGAAAAAGTAGAACTAATGACTGTAGAAGCTTGTGTGTGGACCCACTTTGGGTATTAGAAAGACAACTATAAGTCCTGCAGCAGTGAGGGATGTAAAAATCCTTTATTTTGAGGTATTACTATAGTATGAACTAACATTTTGTGGAAGTATTGATGGAAATTCAAGAGTTTTAGTTTATGTGTGCCTGAAAAAATCAAAATTTCAAGGCCAACTTCACTGAGAAACCTTTATTTTTTGCATGTTGGGATGTTGATTTAGCGTCCAGTAGAAAGCAGAGCATGCCTGGACTAGTAGAAGCTAACCGTTAGCATTAGAAACCCCACAACTCAGCAGAACTCCTTCAGACTTGTGTTATTTGTGGAGCTACAACATCAGCATTGCAAAGCAAACAGTGTCAGTTGTAGAGTTATGTTGCTGTTAGCCAATCCGATGTGAGATGTCCAAATATCAGGAAATAAGACTCCAAATCTCACTGTTTTCTGCTCGTCTCTGCTCTGGCTCACTTCTAGTTCCTGAAACAGGAGCAATTTTCCCCACAGAGGTCGACTATGTAGGCGTTGTTTTATTCACCACTGCAAATTTATTGAAAAAAATAAGTGAACTTGGTATTTAAACCATGAAATCTGTAAAAGATATAAAAAAAATCTGCTCAGTCAGTCATGCAATAACTGAGGTATAAAGCTCCAAATGTGGGCTTTTCTTAAGTTTCATTTTTAAAAAAAAGGAAATTTGTCAAGTAGCATGACATATTTCTACCAAAGGTCCATCACACTTACGGTTTCTCATCTAAACCATGCATTTACATGTTTTCTTAAGCTGCAGGGTGTAAAAATAAACAAAGTTTGAGGCCGTAGCATAAGCGGGACAGTAGCAACACTTCAACGCTTAATGCACCCACAATAAGCAGAAGGGGAGTGAGCTTCAAAAGAAGGAAATAGATGTTGCGTGGAGGAGCTGTGAAATAAAGTTGTCATTGCTTGAAAGGGGAGGGAGAAACTGTCACTACAATGAGGCGTTCTCACGGGAAAATATGACAGGAGCTGTGACACATTCACTTGAACATCCATGCAGATGCACGCACACATGGTCACAGTCGAGTGACGGTTCGCGTCATAAATCTGGTGTTAGTTTCGTACAAAACATGAGCGGAGAGAAGGAGGTGTGTGACCCTCATTACGTTGTGATGCTGCTCACCTGTCAGATTACACACAGAGAGACAGTAACAGAATAAACGGTGCATTCACACACACTCAGACATCACACTGGTGCATTTTACAATGAAAAAGCTATTTATTCATAAAGAATTTTGCTGTTTAGACACAAAAATGTGCATTTCTATCACTTTTATGATTAAATCAATGAAAAACGCAACTTAATATGTTTAATCTCCTTCAAAAATGCATAATCCTGTCATTTAACATAAAACATGATCTAAAAAACTACTTTTCCCCCATTTTCAGTCAAATTATTTGAATTAGACTTCTGCTGATCCTAAAATAGTCTGAAACTAGCAGAATTTGCTATTTTGCTCCACCGTTTAGGAAGTATACTCATAAAAGTGATAAATAGTGAAAGACATTTACAAGTTTTTTGGTTTTAAGCATCTTTAATCCATGTGCACCCTGCAGCATTACAGACCAAACTTACAGTCGACATTTGTGAAGCCTTGATTAACCTGTCTTTAGTGATTAGTTACCTTTTTCTTGTCAGAAATGATTTGCATGACGTGCAGAAACATGCAAGTAAAAATCAGACTAAAGTAGAGTTTTACTGTGAGAATTTCCCTGATTGAAAGGAAATCAGTCACAATTTGTTCCAGGAATTTATTCCCAGGAAGCTATTTGAGAGGCAGGCAGGTGTGTCTCTGGCATCCAGACACAAAGGCAGCTCTCCTGCTGTGAGTCCACGAATGGACTTTAACATTTGTTGTCGGAAAACATGAAAGAAACAAAAATAGAAATAGATTTCTTGTCGGTACCTGCTTAATATAGTAGAAAACAGATTCCTGTGTGTGTGTGTGTGTGTGTGTGTGTGTGTGTGTGTCATTACCTTTAACATTCCTGTCTGTCATTAATTTTCCAATTTTCTCCAGAGAATATCCCTTTGCTTCCTCTGGTCCTTGTTGAGTGTGGTACACACCATGTCACCAAACAACACAGTGACTACCTGAAGCCCTATCCATAGACCCACTTTAGGGCACCTGTGATGCTAATTAGAGGACACACCTTGAGCTAACATATCCCTTTGGTCATTGTCTTTTCTAGGGGTACCGTCATTTTTGCCCAGGACTTTTTATTTATTATTACTTTTGTCAGATTGAAGTTATTTACGTGACCATTGTGGGTTTTTCTTTCATTGACCAAAGGGTACTGACATTTTCATCCACGTCTGTGTTTAGGTTGGTTGTGATGTCACGGTTTCTGTTTTCTTGTGACTGAAAACTGATGGGGACACTCATTCAGTGATGCATTCAAATACATCAAAACAAATCTGTATTTTCAACACTTCAAATTTAAGTTAACAACTTTTCATTTGAAAGTCTATCTAAACAATTTTGTAGAAACTAATGCAAAGCATTATTTGCAGTGGCGGCTCTAGTGGTGGGGCTACACGGGCATCGGCCCCTACTGAAACCTGATTGGTCCCCTGACACTAATCTGTACTTTGTGAAATACTCAGAGGTGAATGCAAATCCAAGTCCAAACTTTTGCGGTGTCGATTTGCTAAATTCCCATTGTGGTATTGTGCAAGGATGTTGAACTAATTTTCGGCCCCTTTATAGATAATGTGGCCCCCATGATGGCCCCATACTCGGACACCAACTGCAGTGGCAGATCTAGGATTTTTCTGTCATTTCTGCAGGGGAAAGAATTCAAATGTTTTCATCTTGTGGAACTTGGACTGCTGCAGATGATGATGATGATGATGATGATGATGATGATGATATCTGGGGATGATAACTGCAGTTTCAGGACGTCTTCTTGATTCTCGTAATCTAAAACAAAAAATCTCAGGATTGCTTAAGAAAACAAATTCATCCTATCAAAGTCACATCTCCAAGGACTTTATGGTTTATTTATGAAGTATAGAGTTATTAGAGGCAAAAAGTGTTTTTATCTCCCAATTTCATTCCAGTTATTCATATATGAACTGAGATGGGCCAGATATTGATTTTTGTTTGTTTGTTTGTTTGTTGCAGATACGACTATGTAGAAATCCATGATGGGAACTCTGAGTCAGCTGACCTGCTGGGGAAGCACTGCAGCAACATCGCTCCCGCACCAATCATCTCATCAGGCCCATCGCTCCACATCAAGTTTGTGTCAGATTACGCCCACCAGGGGGCGGGCTTCTCGCTGCGCTACGAAATCTTCAAAACCGGTAAACGGATGCAATTTCTTCCCGCTCTTGTCATTTTCATTAACAAAAGCTACTCCCCCCCCCCCCCCAACATGATTTAATGATAACATTTTAAATGAAATTTGGAGCTTTAACTTAACACTTTAGTTTTGGGGGTGAAAAGGTTGATAATAATCCAGCCGTAATCTCATACCTGAAATGACCCACACACACGAAAAATCTGAACAAAAATGGATATAAAAGTGCAGTGATGGGCTATTAGTAACTGTATTACAAGCTACATGAAGACTAAGCGTGCTTCATTATGTGATCAGCCCTTCTTTATCTCCATGGTGTCAGCAGAGGTAGGGAGAATCCATCTAGAGACACAGCAGAGGACCCCAGAGAGCCCTTTAGCATGTCCAGGCAGGTCACTTCATGGCACTTTGTGTGTGTCAGTGTATGTGTATATATATGTGTGTGTGTGTGACATGTCTCTCGTTCACACTGCCATGGGTCAGTCAGAGTGAGACCAATTGAGATCAAGGGCAAGTGAGACAGAGAGGCGCGTAGCGGCGGCCCCACAGCCATCTTGTCCCGTTCCCTCTGAAAGCATTCCCCACATGCCTGCTTAATAGAGTCCTGTTCCCCTGAGAGAGAGAGAGAGAGAGAGAGAGAGAGAGAGAGAGAGAGAGAGAGAGAGAGAGAGAGAGAGAGAGAGAGAGAGAGAGAGAGAGAGAGAGAGAGAGTTACTGACACAACACGTGTGCTTGTTGGCATTTCTCACTTGCTGGGACCAACCTTTCTAGGACTTCTTGGTTGTGTGTGTGTGTGTGTGTGTGTGTGTGTGTGTGTGTGTGTTTTGCTCATGATCACCTGATGAACTCAAAACCAAGCAAGGCGTCATTGTTCACACCCCAGCATCACAGGGAGAAAAGAAACAGAGTTGTTTTGATTTGAACTTTAAAATCTTTAGAAACAAGAAGCACAAAATTCTGATTGTATGGGAAGGATTTCACAGTTTGTTGTTTTTCTGCTTTGAGTACGAGTTGTTCTTGTTTTCAAATTATAAAACTTTGTTTTCTATCTTGATCACAAGCAGAATTGCCTTTAGTTTAGGCTGATTGCAGCGTTTGATGGTAAAACATTTATCATTGCTCCATTAATGTTTGGAGGAAAGTTTAGACCAAATTTTACTTGATTTCCTAATGAAAAGCATCTTATTTTGGGGTTTTTCTGAAGCAGTTAGAGTAATTTTATTATTAGTATTGTTAATTACTTCCTCAAACTAACAGTATATCCTAGTGTTTGTGTCCAAGCCTGTTTGGCATCAACGTTGGAGCCGTTTGGAACGATCAAGCTGTTGTCATACTGCTAACAAGATCTTGTTTTCCTGGAAGGTGCAACTGAACGTCTGGTTGTGTGGGAGATTTGGTGTGTGTGTGTGTGTGTGTGTGTGTGTGTGTGTGTGTGTGTGTGTGTGTGTGTGTGTGTGTGTGTGTGTGTGCTGCGTCTAAAAGAGCATAAAAATGATTGATAAGGTTTTGCTTCAGTTTTGGTTTGATTCGTTGTTGTTTTATAAAAGTTTGCATCTTATGTTCTTTCGTGTTTATTGAGTCATTTTCCTAATTTGACATATTTCTGGGTTGTCATTTTTCCTTTTGTTATTCCCATCTTAGCACACATTTGCTCCATTAAAAACACACGGGCTGCCATGGAAGTGAATGATAGCTTTGTCACAATCCCCAGCATGGTCTGTATGTTTCTAAGCCTGTTTTTCCTCATTTTATTCCTGTATTTAAAAACTTTCCCACATGTTGTTAACTTTTATTGTTAGGGGTGGGTTTTTTGCCCTGGTAGTGTTTTTTCTCAACAGTAGTTCATTGTTTTTCTCCACATTTGGATCCTTTGATTAAAACGTAGTTATTTTTTAATCTCAGTAGTGATTCTCAAAGAGCTACAATATATAACCTGGCATTTTTTGGATAATTTGAAGACAAAAATGTAACTGTAAGGTTTGGAAATGAACTAAAATTGATGAAAAGTGTCCCAAAAAAAAAAAGATATAAAAAAACATTGTGATTGTTCAACAATGCAATATGCGTGAGACACAGAGACGCATGTAATTAAAACAGGCTTTTAAAATTATGCAAAATCTACAAAAACAACAAGACAGGCCTCCCCTTGTTGTTGTTTACATCTCTGTTACTACAGAAACAGTAGTAAAATTCCAGCCAATACCAACAGAGACGTGAAAACGTGACAGCCAATCAAATTTCACTGTCTAGACAGTGTTTCCCCCAGCTGTTATTGTGACCCAGAATTCACGGCACACACACACACACACACACACACACACACACACACACACACACACACACACACACACACACACACACACACACACACACACACACACACACACACACCCATGAATGCACTGATGCAAGCTGGATGGTTACTGACAAATGCAGGGCAGCTTGCATGTCTGCACGCAAATGTTAATTCTCTCACACACACACACAAGCACACACACACACACACTTTTTTGCCACATTGCAGTGACAGTCATTCTTTCTCATCTTAAATCAACTATTAGGGAAAAAGTTGGTTTATTTGCTCAAATAACCACAATTTTTATAAAAATTGGAAAGCAAAGTCATAAAAATGACATTTTGTGATATTTTTGTAAGTTAAACAGAAAGTCGATCAGTTAATTTATCAACTCACTTTTTTTCTGAGACGTTTTGTTCACCTCCTCTCTCACACAGACAGAAACACACACCAGAGGTCGAGCTATGGTAGAAGATTCCCTCTAGTAACTGCTTTTGTTTACGTTCTGCTCAGCGCCTTCAGGCGTTTCCTCTCTGCTTCAGCCCCGCTATTCATCAACTCAGTTTATTAGATAGTCTAACCAATTATATCACTTTCTCCTCCCTTCGCCGACTCCTATTGAGGAAAGTGGTTCCAGATCTGACCCAGTAACGAGGAAAATGTCCTCTGAGGGGAAACAGCGATAATAAGTGATGATCTCCCTCAAAAAGAAAAGCAAACAGAGTCTGTTCCTGGGCTTGTATACACATTGCGGCCTTTTGAAAGTGAAATGGGAGTCTTGTTTGGGTTGAGTCGGCAAATTTGTGGGAGTATTTTGTGTCTCTTCCTCTGTTTAACAGGCATCAGTGTGTCTGTTTGGCTTTGCGTTGTTGCAGCAATGGGCTGGGTTGAACTTCTGTTAAAAAAAAAGATTTAACATAAACAGTTCAGGCTAAATGACTTATCTTTGGAAAAAGTTTTGCAGATTCACCAAAATGCTTCAATTCCACCTAAACATCATCAGGAGGAGAATTTCCAAATATTTCCCTGAATTACATCAGTGAGATATTGCTGGATGTCAGCTTTTAGTGAACGGCAGTGAGATCATTTCTGGAGGTAATTGTCTTCTGACAGCTTCAGTTCCACATGCCGGTGGAAATTTGTTTCAAGAGACTTTTAAAAAAAATTAAAGTGGGTCCTGGAAGAAAAGACGAAAATCAGCGTTGGATGAGTTTAAGCACCACATGCTTCGACTTAAACAGCACCCAGAAGGATTCCTGACATAAAAAAATGCTCAGTTTTTTTTTTACTGCGTGTGGTCTCAAGCAAAGTGTGTGTTGCAGTACACCACCTTCACATGTGTGTAAATGGTTGTGACTGTGAGTTTCATCCTGCAAAACAACTCCTATGAAACACACGCACGTTTATTTATTTTACTTGTGCTCTCAAAATTGTGATGCACGTAATTCAGGCTTGAGCAAGGCTTGAGCAGCAAAGCTACCCGGCAACAAACAGCCCTGATTTTCCAGGTTTTGTGTATTTTTTTAATACTGGTCTTGTTTGACAGCATGTAAATAAAAAGAATAAAGAAGAAAGTAGGAAGGTGTGTTTAGGGGTGATTTGGGAAATTGTACAAAAAGAGAAAAAGATCACAAAACAACAGGAGGAAGAAGGGCAGAGAAGTACATGTGTGTACTTGACACACACACACACACACACACACACACACACACAAGGACATGCATGCATGCACTATAGTTGTAGACACACAGTCCCTCGATGAAAAACGTTGGGAAACACCATGTGTTTGTTGTGTGATATTTACTGCACTAAATCTTGATTTTATGCTGAAAAACGTATCAAAGGGACAAAAATGAGACATCAGTGTCATTTACATAACAAATTAAAAGACGGTGCTCACATAAGAGATCTGATAAAGTCGGTCAAATGACCAAAGTGAGCGCTGAAGAGAAATTCCAGACTAGAACCGAAATCGGATCTCAGGAGAGAAAAAACGTGGAAAAGAAAAGCAACATATTGAGTATGAAACAACAGGGATGCACACAAAATATAATAACTAAAAGACACAAACATCTGCTCATCAGTACAGGGTCATGGTGTAAAAATCCAGTTTCCATGGAGATCTGCAGTAGCCATGTTTAATTAAGTCTAACTTTGAAGCTTTACTTCCTCTGAATCGGTGCGACTGCACCTGACGTGCAGCTAAGAACAGGAAAGCAATGTAGTTCTGTGTATGAGCGCGCTCACACACACACACACACACACACACACACACACACACACACACACACACACACACACACACACACACACACACACACACACACACACACTGTCTAAGCCTCTTACTGTAACCCATTTCCCTCTGTCTGTTTGGGTGTCTGCCTCTATGCCTATATGTTTTCAGAAATAAAAGTAACGCAAGCCGTGTGTGTGTGTGTGTGTGTGTGTGTGTGTGTGTGTGTGTGTGTGTGTGTGTGTGTGTGTGTGTCATGGTGTTTGGTCACACATGGCTGACTGAGCTGGTATAATGGTCCAACTGGTGCAACTGCATTCACACAGTAAAGTGTGTATAAATGTGAGCCTCAATGCGGTGTATTACAGCTTTGTGTGTGTTTGTGTGTTTGTGTGTGAGTGTCTGTGTTTGTGTGTGTGTGTGTGTGTGTGTGTGTTTGTGTGTGAGTGTCTGTGTTTGTGTGTGTGTGTGTGTGTGTGTGTGTGTTTGTGTGTGAGTGTCTGTGTTTGTGTGTGTGTGTGTGTGTGTGTGTGTGTTTGTGTGTGAGTGTCTGTGTTTGTGTGTGTGTTCAAGTCTGAAAAGAGTCCCTCAACCTGCTACATCACAGGTTTATGACACCGTCAGCACACGCTCCGCCGTTCCTCCTCTCTCGTAAGATCTGTGTCTCAGTTCTGACTTTTTTCTTTTAAAGGTTAAAGGTCATGTTGAGGAAGTCGCTCTGCTTTTCTGCGGGAAACGGCTCTGGAGATTTATCTCATTTGATCACGTACAGCATCCTTGTCTGTGCTGATGAAACAAAGCTGAAGCTTTGAGCACCAGAATGAAAGGGAGCCCAGTAACAGTTGAATTAAATCATTTCTTTGTGACCCCCTTAAAGGTGAACGAAAGAGCAAAACATGAATTAAAGTACTATTACTTAACTATTACAGTCCGGTCTCCATCAGACCGGGGCTGTGGTGGAGACTGGACAAAATGCTAATTAAAGACGTTATGAAACCATATAGAACATGTAGTGGAGTAGTTAGTAAAAAGTAGTCCTCAAAAAATTACTTCTGTAGTGTCGTTACATCCCATCCCAATTTAGGAGCGGATGTGGAAAGTTTTGGATAAGTTACTTGTGTTGAAGAAAGTTAAATGTGTAAGTTTGAGAGAGACTTGCTGGTATCCATAGCAACAAGAAAGCTATTCTAAGGTGTTTTACATTCATTCATCAAGAAATGAACTAAAGTGATGTCTTGTCTAAATGATTCAGTTTCCTTTCTTCTTCCCAGGCTCCGACTGTTCACGGAACTTCACCAGCCACTCGGGGCTCATCGAGTCTCCAGGCTTCCCGGACAAATACCCCCACAACCTGGAGTGCTCCTTCATCATCATTGTCCCACCCAGCATGGATGTGACCCTCACCTTCCTCACCTTCGACCTGGAGAATGACCCCCTGCCAGGCAGCGACGGGGACTGCAAATACGACTGGCTGGAAGTCTGGGATGGGCTTCCAGGAGGTACAGCGTTTTGCTCTGGAGGCGTTTGGGTTTGAGTCATGTACTTGTTCTACTTGTAGCACAGTTTGGAATATTGTGCACAGAAGAGTTTTGCAGTACTTCACCTGTTTTGTCAGTCAGTGCAGTGAAAACGTGCATCTCGCCCTGCCTACATCGTTATTGACTGCTGAGGAGCAGCAACTATTTTGGTAGCTACGTGTTGGTAGATGAAAGTGAGGCTTACAGGCAGGTTGCTGGCACCTGTTGTAGAGGAACCGAAGTTTTAGAGGGAAAAAGAAAATAAGAGGCACTTCTGCAGGGTGAAAAAAGAGATTGGAGGCTAGAGGCAGGATGGTAGAAGGGTAGGATATTTCTGAGTTTAGAAACACAAATCTATAAAATGTGCAAAGACCTTGGGTCTTCAAAATAAGAGTTCTGTAAGGGCATCTCGACAAGAAGAAATGAAGATGTTGGTTTGAACTTGAAGACCAGAAGATCTGTGGTCTACTTTCAAGAAAAAAATTCTAAAAACTTGGACTAAAAGAAGGAGAATGGATGCCCTGAAATGCTGATATTTGTAGGACTTCTCAGTGTTATCAAAGCGTTGTCCATCACGTATAAATAACTTTTCATAAATGGAAAGATTGACCGGAGGCAATATTGGTTACTTTATTGCCAAATCTCATAAACGCACAGAAAAATCATTCACAGGAGATGGATTCACCTTTGTGGAGAACAGAAGCGGCTGTGAACTTTACTGTGAATAGATGAAAACAGCCTGCAGGAAAACGGATGGATGGAGCAGAGAGGACAGCTGCTTATGAGAGTAAAAACACACAGATGTTTTATAAAGGAAGATGGAAGATGAGGATGAAAAGCTCCTGCTCTGCGGAATAAAGGAAGACTGGGAAAAACAGGAAGGAGAGTTAATATAAGGGTTGGAGGCGGAGTTGAGAGACCTTTAGTGTTAGAAAAATCAATGTAGAAGAAAACATTGACCGTGTGTGACAACATGAGGTTAAAAGAGGGTGAAGAAGGGGTGAAAAGCTGAGAGACGACCCTAAAATACGTTTATTTGGTTTAAAGGGAGACAAGATAAACAACCCAAGAAGTCCGTGTTCGCTTGATTAAACAGCAAATCAAATAAAAAGCAGAAGAAAACGAGAAAATTTTCATTTGCTCCAGTCCACACACACACACACACACACACACACACACACACACACACACACACACACACACACACACACACACACACACACACACACACACACACACACACACACACACACACATCACTTATGTCAGCATCAGATTTTATCTCCTCAGATAAACTCACTAGTCAACCGCTGGCTTTCATAGCCATCCATCCACCCTGAGGGGGGATGGAAGTGAGGCGGTCTGTAAGCCGTGCTGTATATAACATTCTCAAAACACATTTAACTGTACGATATCGTCCATCTGGTCTCCTCTATTTGTCTCTTCCCAGTTTTCCTTTGTCTCGCTAACATCAAGAAAAGAGTTATTGCCATTATTTGCTCAAGAGCCCTATTTCAAATATCCAACCATTCCAAAAGGGAAGAGAAAAGGAGGAAATCAATAGGACGGATCGATCGTTGGTTATTTTTTCTCCTCCTCTTCCTCCTCCTCCTCATCCTCTGCAGGCCTCCTCAAGTGTTTATGTCTGTGTTTAAGTCAGGAGCTGGGAGTTTGCAGGATGAATGTTTTACTATCTCTGCTCCTACACACACACACACACACACACACACACACACACACACACACACACACACACACACACACACACACACGCACGCACACACACACATACACACACACACACACACACACACGCACACACCCACAGGTTTCAAATCATAATCATCCGTTTACCTTGGCACGTTGACATTTGGCAGCACAGTAAGCTATTAGGGAGGAAGGCAATCAGTTTGATCCTTGGATTAATACAAATGCATATACTTTGTATTTATGGCGCATGTTGTAAAACCGCTTTTAGAACCGAGATCAAGATGATTAATGGAGGGAAGAGAGGCGATGACATGAGGAGGATGAGCTGAAAGAGGAAGGAGGAAGACAATAGATAAAATACCGTAAGTAGCAAAGGGTATAGACAAATAAGTCTTAGGGTGAAGAGATAAAAGGATTTGAAATCAGGTCTTTATCTTGTGTGAGGGAATATGTTTCAGTCGAAATGAAGGAGTTATAGGGTATAGATTCATACTTTTTGGCAGATTACTTGTAGAAAACGGAATAAATTATGAAATCTGGATTTGTCTTGACAGTGGGCCCTCTGATTGGACGATACTGTGGGACCAGGGTACCTCCTGAGATCCATTCATCCACGGGAATTCTCTCCCTGGCCTTCCACACCGACATGGCTGTGGCTAAAGACGGCTTCTCTGCTCGATACAACATGACGCACAAGGACGTCAGTGAAAGTGAGTGAAAATCTTCTTTTTTTCCCATCAGATCTTCCTAAACAAAACATGTTTCAGGGTCATCGGTTCCTCTCTGTTTCCCATCCTCTTGTAGCGTTCCACTGCAGTAACGCATTCGGGATGGAGTCAGGAAAAATCACAGATGAGCAGATCACAGCCTCGTCCAGCTTCCCCGACATGCACTGGCTGCCTCGTCAGGCTCGGCTCAATTACAAAGAAAACGCATGGACGCCCAGGGAAGACAGCAGCAGAGAGTACATCCAGGTGTGGATCGCGTTGGAAGTGTGATGATTTAGGGGAGGTTTCTAAAAATTATGGTTCTTTTTGATCAAACTGAATCATAAAATCACAGTTTTACACCATAAAAGCATACGGCATGTATCTTTTAGGAGACTGTGCTCTGTTTAAGCTTAAAAAGATTGCAGTTGAACTTTGATGCCATATTTTTCCTGGAGTTGACATAATAACTCTATCACCGATATATTTGTGTCAGTGGGCGAGTGAGAGATGGGAGGGATCGGGAGGGAGGTGTGTGGAGCTATTAAGGTTCAGCCGCCCGAGTGAGGCGTTGTTTCCTGTCTTCTACATGGTGCCAACTTCATGCCGTCCCTGAGCTAAGCTTGAGTTATGAGGCTGTCTGGCTGAGAGGAAGAAACGAAGGTGAGGTTCACTCAGGCCAGCCGGAGACGGCGCTTTTCTTCAGGTGCACCCGCTGTAAACAATAGATTATCTTTTTGGCTGGCACTTTCAGATGGTCTCACAAAGTCAGCCGACAGCTTTGGGTTGGGTTTTGTTGCAACAAACAGCCCTAGAAGAAAACTGGTTTTGTTTCAGGTGGATTACTTTGCTGTTCCTCATCGTCAAACACAAAAAGGCAATAAAAGACGCCAAATGAATCCTTAAACTAATCATTTGTAATCTTTCAAGGAGAGAGAACGGTTGGGTGAGGAGCTCGGGGTCACTGCTCCTCCACATCGAAAGGAGCGCGTTGAGGTGGTTTGGACTTTTGGTAAAGATTCCCTCTCATGATGAAGATGTTTCAGACAAGTCCCAATCGGAGGAGGCCTTATGGCAAACCAGCTGGAGGTGCCTTACTGTTGCATCAGGAGATCTTAAGAACCGTCCATCCATTCTCATCCGCTTGTCTGGGTTCGGGTCGTGGGGTCAGCCGCCCAAGCAGAGAGGCCCAGACTTCCCACTCCCCAGCACTTGGGCCAGCTCCCCCAGGGGAATCCCAAGGCGTTCCCTGGCCAGTCGAGAAACATAGCCCCTCCAGCGTGTCCTGCACCTTCCTTTAGTTGGACATGCCCGGAAAACCTCACCAGGGAAGCGTCCAGGGCGCCCTAACCACCTCAACCGGCTCCTTCCGATGTGAATCATCAGGGATGAGCAGCAAAGTTAAATCTAAACTATTTATAATTCTAAGGAAAATCCTTTCTACTGCAAAAAGGATGCTTTTAAATTAATGTTCTTAAAATTCTAGTCTAGCTAAATATCTGCTAAATGTTGGACCCCAGGGCTAGAAACCGCCTACTGCCATCTTGACCATCTTTGTGACAGATCTGAAGTCTGCTTTGTGAGTCAAATAAATCATTCATACCTAGAAATAAACACCACAGATGTGTTTTTAGAAGTAATAATTCTAAGACTTGTAGTGCTCAGCTACAGTTTTGCCTTCACTTGGGACACTAGCTCTCCTGTTTGCTATAAAGGATGATGAAATCACGTCGTCAGAGACAGGCGTGGGTTGGATGCAGTGATTTGAAGATCATTTACATATTTAGAATACTGACTTTGTGTAACTCTTGAAAATAATAAATATAAAATAAAATTAGGATTTTCATTATCCATAACATAAGATATTTGCATTAATAGAGGCGGGCGTCGAAGTTGGCTGGAAAATTCAGCCTTCATCTTTCCCACGGTGTTCTTTGGCCTGCGTGGTTCCTAAGGAGACTCTCAGCTGATTCCTTGCATTAAGCTAAAGGAACAACCAAAGGCCGCCATTTATGTAAAAGCCTCTTTCTTGTGAAGCAGTTGGCTTAAAAACCAACCTTTGTCTGAGTGTGCAAAAGTCTTGTGTCGTCCTTTTGTTTTTTTCTCATGTTGCTTCCAAAGACATCATTTGTTCTCATCAGGAGAAAGAAAGCTTGGGAGCTTAGAAGCAAAGTGTGGACAAAACTACAGGGAGTGCAGAATTATTAGGCAAGTTGTATTTTTGAGGAATAATTTTATTATTGAACAACAACCATGTTCTCAAGGAACCCAAAAAACCTCATTAATATCAAAGCTGAATGTTTTTGGAAGTAGTTTTTAGTTTGTTTTTAGTTTTGGCTATTTTAGGGGTATATCTGTGTGTGCAGGTGAATATTACTGTGCATAATTATTAGGCAACTTAACAAAAAAACAAATATATACCCATTTCAATTATTTATTTTTACCAGTGAAACCAATAGAACATCTCCACATTCACAAATATACATTTCTGACATTCAAAAACAATTCAAAAACAAATCAGCGACCAGTATAGCCACCTTTCTTTGCAAGGACACTCAAAAGCCTGCCATCCATGGATTCTGTCAGTGTTTTGATCTGTTCACCATCAACATTGCATTCAGCAGCAACCACAGCCTCCCAGACACTGTTCAGAGAGGTGTACTGTTTTCCCTCCTTGTAAATCTCACATTTGATGATGGACCACAGGTTCTCAATGGGGTTCAGATCAGGTGAACAAGGAGGCCATGTCATTAGTTTTTCTTCTTTTATACCCTTTCTTGCCAGCCACGCTATGGAGTACTTGGATGCGTGTGATGGAGCATTGTCCTGCATGAAAATCATGTTTTTCTTGAAGGATGCAGACTTCTTCCTGTACCACTGCTTGAAGAAGGTGTCTTCCAGAAACTGGCAGTAGGACTGGGAGTTGAGCTCGACTCCATCTTCAACCCGAAAAGGCCCCACAAGCTCATCTTTGATGATACCAGCCCAAACCAGTACTCCACCTTGCTGGCGCCCTTTACCAATCCAGCCACGGGCCCATCCATCTGGCCCATCAAGACTCACTCTCATTTCATCAGTCCATAAAACCTTAGAAAAATCAGTCGAGATATTTCTTGGCCCAGTCTTGGCGTTTCAGCTTGTGTGTCTTGTTCAGTGGTGGTCGTCTTTCAGCCTTTCTTACCTTGGCCATGTCTCTGAGTATTGCACACCTTGTGCTTTTGGGCACTCCAGTGATGTTGCAGCTCTGAAATATGGCCAAACTGGTGGCAAGTGGCATCTTGGCAGCTGCACGCTTGACTTTTCTCAGTTCATGGGCAGTTATTTTGCGCCTTGGTTTGTCCACACGCTTCTTGCGACCCTGTTGACTATTTTGAATGAAACGCTTGATTGTTCGATGATCACGCTTCAGAAGCTTTGCCATTTTAAGACTGCTGCATCCCTCTGCAAGATATCTCACTATTTTTGACCTTTCTGAGCCTGTCAAGTTCTTCTTTTGACCCATTTTGCCAAAGGAAAGGAAGTTGCCCAATGATTACCGTAAATCCTCTAATATTAGCCTGTATTTAATTAACTGCCGGGTGTCATATTTTGGCCGGTGTCGGCGGAGGTGAATAATGGCCGGTTTTTTATTGTGGCCGGGTGGAATGTGGTAACAAGCAAGTACTGGGGGTGGTTGTGTCATCCGTCTCACTTTTGATTTGCCAGTGATAGACCGCGAGGGTAACTTCAACCGTGCGGAGACGAAGAGGAGGCGAAAATTTGATATCAAGTTCAAAGAGAACGTGCTGATTACGCTGCAGAACACACTGGGGAGCAGTAGCAGGGGTTGTATGAACTAGTCACTAGTCGACATCACCGCTCTATAGTGACTTTTTATGCCTGTCATCGACTAGTCGCTGTCACGTGATAATGACCGGCAAGATGCAGCCCTCGGAAAAGACAGCAGCCTGCTGTCAGCAGGTGACAGGTGATGCGCCCCGATCCACAGCAGTGAAAAGCATCAGGCACAAATAAAAGACTAAAAGACAGAAAACATAAAAGGAAATGAGCCGACATAAACGATCGCGTGTTAAATTAGTTTTTGAGGTGGCGACACCTGATTTGATAATGTTACTGTGGCCGTGCTCAGGACGCAGATGTGTGGAGCGCGTCAACAATCAGAGCTTTGCATGCGCAAGCTGGTTAAGGTTAGGATGGGGGTGAGGGGAAGGTTAAATTGCAAGAGGGTAAACGTCACAATTTGGTTAAATGTCCGTTTTACGGCGGGTGTCAGTACCGACACTCTGGCACAGCACGTTGCCTCCCGTGGCCGGCAAGCAGCGCGAACCCCGCTGTTTTTGCGGTCGGTAGATCTTTTAGAACTGCAGTTCAAAGATAACTCATGAGGTGAATATATATGAACCCAGGTAGCAGTTTTTCTTTAGGATTGAGAGTAGATGCAGGAAGATAATAAACAGGCAGGAAAGAAAAATAGTCAAATAAAAACAAATTAGTTTTTGTACCTGCTGGTTGCAACAAACAGACACCATTGAAGGTAATCAGAAGTGAGGAACAGAAAATGAAATAATTATTTTAATGTTGAGAGCAGCAGGAACTCAGAGAGGCTGCAGGCGCATCAGTGAGTTTGCGGCTGCTGCGCAGGGGGAGGGGGGAGAGGGCTGAAGCAGAAACTACCGTTGTTAAAAGAAATGTGTTTAACTTTGAAAATGTGGGCGCAATTTTAATTGTCAAAAACTCCAGCGAACCATTAGTTCATTTTGCTCAAATAGAAATAGAGGCCTGCCTCAAATTTTGGTCCTCCTTCCAATAAAGGTCTGGAGCTTGATGAGCTTGAGTCAAATACAGGCCCGGGCCTGTATTAGAGGATATACGGTATGCACACCTGATATAGGGTGTTGATGTCATTAGACCACACCCCTTCTCATTACAGAGATGCACATCACCTAATATGCTTAATTGGGAGTAGGCTTTCGAGCCTATACAGCTTGGAGTAAGACAACATGCATGAAGAGGATGATGTGGACAAAATACTCATTTGCCTAATAATTCTGCACTCCCTGTACTCTGCAGCCTAAACCCTATTTTATTTTATTTTATTTTATTTTATTTTATTTTATTTACTCTGGTACGGTGCAGATTGATGATGCGAGTGCTGGTGGTTTCGTTATTTTAACAGCTCTGTGATTGATGAGGACACTTCCCTGGGAAAGCTCACTTAGCATTTCTCTCCTTCCCCCTGTTTTCATTTGTTCTTCACCTTTTTTCTTTTTCTTTCTCTCTTTCCACCTTACTCGTTACCTCCCCATCTCCTCTCCTCTCATCCTGTGTCCTGGACTATTGATTAGTTGTCTTGCAGGATGTTGGTTCTGCCCTACCAGAGCAGGCGTGTGTCTGTGTGTGTGTGTGTGTGTGTGTGTGTGTGTGTGTGTGTGTGTGTGTGTGTGTGTGTGTGTGTGTGTGTGTGTGTGTGTGTGTGTTGGAAGTAATCTAAAACACCTGTCTCTCTGACAGATAACACACAGCATTTTACCTCCCCCGGTGTTTTGTACTATACCCCGGTGGGACATATAGCGAGCACTCACACGGCGTGCTCAGATTAATCTACAGGTCTCAGCGGCTCCAGCGCGGGAGAATAAATGTTACGACTTACAGTAGAATCTTTCTCATCCTCTCCTCTCCATTTTTCTGTCTGGAATTGAAAAAAAAAAACAGAAGTTCAAAATACTTGTAATCTCAGTAGGAACCCATTTGCTGCGTCTGGTAGTATTCATCCCTAATGTGAGAACTACTTTATGCTCTCAGAAGAGATAGAATGATGCATTTTTAAGCAATTTACATTTTTATCAAAATGATTCATCTCATCTTGCTAACATTAAAAGGTATAAATATTAACATAAAGTGCATTTTGTAAGGTTTTTTTTTTTGCAGAACTTTAGAATTTTCACTAAAGTTAAAAATATTTTCTTATCTGCGAAGCATGGTGGAGGTAGAATCATGGTTTGGGCCCAGTCTGTTCCTGGCAATAGAAATGTTGTGGATAATCTAGACTGTTCAAACTGACTTAAAACTGAAATTATTGTGATGTTTTATCAAGATTTTTTTCCCCAAAATGAAGGACAAATTGTCCCATTTTTGTAATATTTCTTCAGATTTTCACTGTTTATCTTCCTTTAGAACTCATGTGAGCATTTCTACATGCATACAGGACAAGCACACTGTAATGTGTTAGACCTTCAAGCACCGCTGTAACGGCATTGGGGACCTTAAAAACAAGTTTTAAATAGTCTTCCTTCATTCTGAACGCCAGACACGTAGCACATTATCCACAATCAGGGTGAGAAGGTGATTATAGCTTTTATATGAGGGGAAATTAAAACGAGCCTCAGGTCATTTCTATTGATTTGCCAAGAGAAAAAGATGGTGGAGAAAGAAACACAAAGAAGTATATGAGAAGGGGAGGAAAGGAGAGTTGTGGAGTTTAGAGAGGGACGCTTAAAGGTTTAGAAATGTACGTATGGAGGAATTAATTGTTCTCTTTCTACAAACAGGTGGACCTTCACACTCTGAAGGTCCTTACAGGCATTGCTACTCAGGGCGCCATCTCGAAGGAAACTCAGAAGGTTTATTATGTCACCACCTTCAAGCTGGAGGTCAGCACAAATGGAGAAGACTGGATGATCTACAGGCATGGCAAGAATCACAAGGTGAGCTCAAATAAATGTAAAGAATGGGACATGTTTGCTTTTCCATCATTTGGATGGTGAATTTGTATTTGTGATTGGAAAACCAGCCAGCTGCACCAACTGGTGAACCACATGGCAACACACGTGCAGCAGTGGTGGAGGTGGAAAAATACGAGAGGGGATATTTGCAGAGAGAATCCACCTCAAGCCCAAAATCTAACCAGCGTCTCCAGTTATAGCTGTTTAGCTGTCACTCATTTGGTACTGTTCAAAGGTTTACAACCAAACCCCGAGTGAACACACAACCTCAAACTCAGAGTCGTACCTCACATCAGAACTACATCTACGTCCTTTAAGTTCACATCTGCTTTTTGTTGCTTTTCTAGTTAGATTTCTGCTGATTGCTGAGCTCATGGCGATATAAAACCATCGTACGTGTGAGCACGCTGCAGTTTTGTGGCTTCCAGGTAGAAATAAAGCAACCCGTAATGAGACTCTTAATGATTCAAACTGCATTTAAACTTGTGGAGCTGTGGCCGGTTTCAGCCGTGGTGGCTGGTTTTTCCATCAGAGCTGATTTTCCTCTGCTATGTGGTCACACGTGATTGTGCTGCGGTCTAGCACCACGTCTATCTCGCTGCTGTGAACCTTCATTCCTTAATGAACACTAAAGCATGAACTCACTCACAGATGCATGTATTTCTCCCAGTTTATCCATCTGGAGTCCTTCGTGGCCTACAGATCCCATACGGCTCGTATGGAAGGCTAGTTCCCAGAGAAATGATGGAAAGATGGATAAAACAGCAAAGGGAATGACAAATAATTTAGGAGATGGAGTACAAAGACACATTTTTTCTGTTTTCTTTCTTCATAGCAAACCAAAGAGATCAAATGAAGACAACTGGACTTTCTTGAAGACCTTTCGCTTCTCATCTGAGCAGCTTTGTCAGTTCGGACCAGAATACAAGAGAGTCAAGCTTTTAAACAGTTTCTGTCTGTTGTTGCTTAAATGAGCTGAAACTACCAATGAATACCCCTACCCCGGAGGAGTTATTTATGTTGCTTATATTGTGTTAGAGTGGTTGTTATGATTATATGGCCTAGACTGAAACTGTTTTGGGATTTGGTTTAGAGCTGTGTTAGGTGAAACACGAGGCCTCCTCCGCTGAACAACAAGCAGCTACAGTTTACAAGCGCAACTCTCCCGTATTCCAGTCAGGATTGAAAAAGCTGCTCGGATGAGAAGTGAAACATCTTCAAGAAACCAAAGAAGTCCAGTTGCCTTCATTAAAACCCTTTTCAGATTCATAGAAAACAGGTTTTAAATTAACTTTTTTAATTGATATATTTTGCAGGAATAAATCTGCTGAAATGTATTTTTACACCTGCTGTTTCCTGGGATGCAGATGCTGAGTGGGACACAAAAAAATCCAATATGCAAAGCATATTATTGACCAACGTTTTGAGATTACTTGCTGGTGTCGCCATCCATAATCCTCCCCATAACCTCTGGAAAGCAGCTGAATACCAAGAGATACAGAAAGTGTGACGAGGAAATGTCTAGAATAAATCAGCTGCACACAGACCAACACATTGAAACAAAGACTTAAGGATGATTTGACTCTAAGGTTTGATGGATTTCACGTCAATCTCATCAGGATCTTCTAATAATAATAATAATAGTAATAATAATTATACATTTTATTTGAAGCGCCTTTCAAAGCTCTCAAGGTCACTGTACAGGACAAAATATAACAAGCAAGCAATACAAACAACAAGAAATAAATGCTAAAAGTAATTCCCAAAGGTAGAGTCGGAGCAGTGCGATGGATAATAGACTAAAAAGAGTAGATGGAAGGAGGACAGTTACAGTGAGTAAGCCAGGTGGAACATGTGAGTTTTGAGTTGAGACTTGAAGGTTGAGAAGGAGTTTATATTGCGGAGGTCAGGCGGTAGAGTGTTCCAGAGTTTTGGAGCTGAGTGGCTGAAAGCTCTGACTCCCATAGTACAGAGACGAGTGCGAGGAACAGACAGGGAAGGTGAAGATGATGATCGGAGAGAGCGAGTGGGAGTGACAATGTGGAGGAGATTAGAAAGATATGGGGAAGCGAGATTATGGATGGCTTTAAAGGCATGAAGAAGTATCTTGCAGTCAATTCTGTATTTGACAGGGAGCCAGTGAAGTTGTTGCAGGACAGGGGTAATGTGATCAAAAGTGGAGGTCTTGGTGATTATCCGGGCAGCTGAATTTTGGACTAACTGTAACTTGTTGAGTGATTTTAGAGGGAGACCAGAGAGGAGGGCATTACAGTAATCGATGCGACTGGTGACCAGGCTGTGGACCAAAATAGCAGTGGTGTGTTGACTAAGGGAGGGGCGGAGCTGATTGATATTGTGAAGATGAAAATAAGCAGTTTTTATTGTGTTGTTAATATGAGGAATGAAGGATAAGGTGTTGTCTAAGATGACACCCAAGTCTTAGCTTTGGCGGTGGGGAGAAGTGTGGTGTTGTCGAAGCTGAGTGAGAATGAACTGGTCTTGGATAGAGATGACTTGGTGCCAGTGAGGAGGATCTCAGTCTTATTACTGTTGAGCTGTAGAAAGTTAGAGGAAAACCAGGATTTGACTTCGGTGAGGCAACTGAGAAGGGAGGATGAAGGGAGCGGGGGGTTTGGTTGGGTAGAGAAGTAGAGCTGGGTGTCATCGGCGTAGCAGTGAAAATGAATATTAAATTTCCTGAAGATATTGCCAAGTGGGAGTAAGTAGATTATGAAGAGAAGGGGACCTAAGACTGAGCCCTGAGGAACTCCAGAGGTAACTGGCTTGGGGTTAGAGTGGAAGGTGCGCAGTTGGACAAATTGAGTGCGATTAGATTGATATGATTTGGACCAACTTAGAGGAGTTTTTGGATGGTGGATAGTATATGGAGTAGAACTGTGTGAAAATTGTTCTGAAAATGATCTCTTTGTTTAAATGTTTGAATACTTGACTAAACATAACAGTGCTTCTCTTTTCGTGAAAAGAGCAAAAGAAAACAAGTGGAGCAGTCTGAGAAGAAAAGATGGTGTGTGAGATGGTTGTGTATTTGATAATAAAGCAGCGGAGTCAGCATTTTGGATTCTATAATGTCCTTCTCAGCTGACACAGCCCAGACTGGTAGTCAGCATCAGCCTTGTCACACCGTCTCCATCATCTTTCAGAGCTTAGAGAGAAAATATGAGGGCATGTTTGATGTTAAAAATCATCCCGCAGGGCTGGATAGCATCTATATAACAGTCAAAATGTGGAAAATGCTGAATTTGCGTTTGCAGAATAGTTTTAAAATGCTGTTTTTTTACAGAAAAAATAAAATGAGAGCAGATCTTTGATTGATTTTATTTTTTTTGCTGGGATTGATTCAAATTTAGAAAATAAGTGTATAACCCTAGCTGTATCTACTAGTGTCTTTGTTGACATCGTCACACACTTCCCTCCTTCTGTACTTCTCACAACATCTCTCCATCTATCATGCTCTCCCTCTCTTTTTACTGTAGACATTCACATCTGCATTCTCCCCCTTCGTCCCAGCTCTCCCTCCACACCCCATAATTTATACCTCTGTTCCCCCTTCCTGTGTCTGAGAAAGACATCATGAAATAGACAGGCGCGTTTACGCTGCTCAAATAAATGACCGTTAGGCCACAGTGATGCTGTGGTGTGTTTGCATGTTAACCAGGACGGATGATTGAATTAGTGTTTTACGAGCAGGAGGTTTTAGAAAGAAACTATATGGAGCTAAAGTAAGTAGATCTCTCCAAATTTGCTCGTAAACACATTTCACAGCTCTGCATGTATAGAAATGCATGGACCAAATTATATTTACTACGTCTTGTTGCGTGTTAACATTTTTCTCAGATGAGTAACACTCTGCACGTGCACACACACACTAATGCACACATGCGTGCTCCAGCTTAAAACATCTGGGAGCCAGCCCAGAAGGGTGGTACTGCTGTCACAGTGATTTAAGTGATCTTTAATGCATTTGATAATGTCATTAAATGCCTGTTACAGACCAGATGGGATGAATGGAGAACATGTTAACTTTGCAGAGATGGTGACATTTGTGCATAATTTGCTCCAATAACACTGAGAAGTCTTGTTCTACTAGAAAAATCACAGAGTAAAACGTGTAGAAAGGCAAAGATTCTAAACATTAATTCAAAATCACGCTAAATAAAAGTATTAGCGTCTCTACAGGAGATGTCACGGAGTTGGTGTTTAGGAAATGTGTTGCTCATGAACAGCTGTAAAAGGTCCCTTTGGACATGGTTGCACAACAATATCCACGACGTTCTGCAGAGTAAAGCCGGTGTCGGTACAAGATCTGCTCGGGTGCAAAATCGGCTCGGGGTCCGTCGACCACCGATGATATCAAAGTAGTTGATTGGCTGAACATGAACCTTACGGAATTACTTAATCACGCTACGTTGTTATCACGCTACGTTGTTATCACGCTACGTTGTTATCACGTTACGTTGGTCCAGGCAAATCTTTCTGTTGGAAAGATGGACAACTTTTACAAAGAAATCCATCATTACCTCTTTGAAAATACACTTTTAGCATAAAGCTGCATGTATATTAGGGCTGAACGATTAATTTCATGTGCAATTAAACTGTGATGTGACAAAAGGAGATTTTCTAATCGCAAAGGCTGCAATTTGGCAGCGGTTAGCGCAACGCTAATATACATGGAAAAACCCATAGGAATGCTAATGCTAATATCACCAATTACATTATTACAAATTATGAATTAGAAACATGCCAAATGATTACATTTGGAGTCTAATAGAAAGTAAAACTATCATCAGTCAAATAAGTACAGACAGGTATTTTAGTAAAGCCTGAAAACTTTTAACTGCAGAGTTTTGGCTAGCAGCTATGAGCGTACCTGAACTACGCATGGACAAGACGTCAAAAACTAAACACAAAATACTTCAATAAACGGGACACACTTCTTTCCTGCAAATACAATTTCACAGGTG